GGGGGGTGTCCGGGAAGGAGCCGCAGATACCTCAGTATTTCCATCAAAACAGTTACATAAAGTTGTCATGCCTGTTACGTAACCGTTTCGACACCACGCGGTATTGTCGTAAACCGCGTAGAAGACAAATAAATGACAAAACGTTCAGGTTACAGAGCGCCAGAACAACGGGGGCAGGTGGAGCGAAGCGCGTACCGCAGGGGTGAAGCCTGCCGAGGGGTCCTCCAGAGGAGCCGGCGGTCCATCGCCCTCAAGAAGCAAATGATCCGCTTTGCTGGGAACGAGCGGACAACCTGCATCGGGGGGCCTGTCTGTTCAGAGTAGGGAGACGGTCTTATAGAAATAAAACTGAAGTACAAGACCCAGATGCAAAGTTGCATCTTGTCCTTGTTTTTAAAAGTTGAAGGCAGGTGAAGAGAGAGAAACACGCTCAAAAGACCACAGACAACTTGTTTTTAAAGAGCCACAGCTACTCAAGGGACGTAGATGGGATTTTAGGTATTTTTGGGACTTCAGGGATGTTTAAGGGGCACCGTGTAAGTCAGAGGCACAGCCAGCTGTAAGCTGATAAAAAGCTATTATGTTTTGGCCAAGAGTAAAGACGAAAGACAGAAATGATGTCAAAGCTAGCCAGCTCTCCCCTACCTAGATCCCTCAAAGTGCTTTCCGTCACAAGGCTATTGGGTTAAGCAGAGGGAAGACGACTTGGGTGAAAGTTAGCAACTAATCATAACAAAGGTCAGTCAGCCTCAGCTAGTTAACACTTACTGTCTGTTGCTTGTCTGCCCCAGTTTATCCCCTTTTAATCTGACCAGCGTCACAAAGTTCTTACCATGCTTTTCACAAGCACCCCATAAAATACAAAAAATTTTAAAACTAAGGCTAAAAGTATTTGTCAGGCCGCTCATATTTATAACACATTACCAGAAACTGACCTTTAGGAAGACACAGGGGGTTTTATTTTTTTCCCCTCTGCTCACACAGTTCTCTGAGACATTTCCCAAAGAAACAGTTTTGTTGCAATCCGTGTGTGTAAATGCAACTAAGTTCCTCACCCTCTCCCTTCTACCAAAGCTCTTGAGCCTAATTAGAGGGATAGAATCTTTCTAAGGCTTTACATTTAATGAAATTAAGATGAGTGGGCAGGTGAGGGACTCTAATAACCCTTGAGCAAGAAAGTTCAAGTTTTGGCCACTGTTTTATGTCTCAGCAAATACAAATGGGACTTCAAGGTCTACACAACTGCATGTTTCCTCACTTCTGCTAGAATTCCAGTTCTCTCCTATGCTTGAAGCAGAAGCAGCAACCTGATCTTAAATGGGTGAAAGAAAACAGTGTTCTTTCATTTCACTCAGAGCTTTATGTCTTGTAGGTTTAAGAATTAATCACAGTTCCTTTAAGGATTAGTTTGGAGAAGAAAAAAACCCATGACTGAACTTGAGAGACCTAAGTAGCAGCAATGAAAATGGCTGTTTTATTGCTTTGCATATGAAGCTTACGTTTAATATTCATATCTATGGAAATCTAAACCTAGAAAGACAACTAGAGTTCCACAGCTTAGTTTTGTGACTCTACATGGAAGTCTAAAGAACTTGCTAAATTCAACGTGTTCACCACAAATTATGAAGTTTTATAACTAACATCCTCAAGATCCATTGACTGTGAAAAGCAGGGGTGGGGGGGTGGCAGGGGGAAGCCGAGTAAGCTAAGTGGTAGTTCATAGTGCATAGCAAAAACTAAGAACTGAAAACTTGGTAATTTACCTAAACATCAATTTTAATGCTATTGCTTGTCTGGGTATACACTCATATTTCAGCCAAAGTTGAATCCTTTATGGAAAATATATTTTTTTCATAATTTCAGTGCTGCACATCCATACAGTCACCAACCTCCAATGAAACTATGATACCCAAGTTTCATCTTCCTGATGTTTACAACTGTCATATTCTTCCTTAAATATCATACAATCCTCACACAGCATTTTGATTATGATCTCTGTTGTCCTTCTTCATGAAAATCATCATAGGGCCACCCAAGACTCTTGGCACACATATGAAAAACAAACAGCGATGAAAATTTGTAAACCCAACTTTATTCAACGATGACCATCATTTAGGCATCGGCAATAGTAACTTCAACTTCTACACCTGGTTCAATGCTGATGGAAGTGATTTGCTTCACGATCTCAGAAGGGCTGTGTAAGTCAATGAGCCGCTTATGGATACGCATTTGGAAACGATCCCAGGTCTTGGAACCTTCACCACAAGGCGTCTTCCTGGTAGTGATTCGCAGAGTCTGAAGAAAGAGCATAAACACAGGGTATTTAGTTGATGCATACAGATGACTAATCTACAATCAAATCAGCCCACCTAAAAATACTGTATGGTATCTATGTTACCATGGAAAGTTACTTCTTAAGTTAATTTCTACTGAAGTTAACACTCCTCCCCTGCATTCAATTTAATTTTAAAAAAAATTTTCACAATTAAAATAAATTGAAGGACAAAAAAGCCCCTTCCATGCAACGTGTTTTGCACTAAACAGCTGCCCCAAGTGTCAAAGCAACTTGTGAAGTCATTATCTGTTTACGCTGGGTCACCCTCAATTTAGTAGTACTGCTTTTCATCTCAACTTTTTTTTTTTTAAAAAAAAGATGTTTTAAGTGCACATTTGCAGAAAAAAATTTTTAAGACAGGAAAACAGTGTTAAATACCTTGGTGGGCATACGAACAGGTCCTTTCACCTTTAGGTTTTTTTCCTTAGCGCCTCTGATCAAGTCAGCACAGACTGAAAAAACAAAAATACAAAATAGCTCAGGTTTGTGAGTATTTTTTTGCTTGCTTTTTAACTGAAGATTTCAAACAAGATGTCGGCTCAGAATAGCGTATGAAGTGATCATTGCCATTCATTTTAAGGGTTATCCTCATAGCCAACCACATACAAGTGGAAGCGTTACGCCACGGTTAGCAAAATCATGTTACAACAGAAGGCAAAAGCCATTACTACCAGTTTATTTAAGCTGTTATCAGCCTGAAGATCCTGCATCAAACAGCGACTCTACTACATTTGCATTATATGATTAAAACACTGGCAAAGCCAGTTCCTAAACAGGATTAAATAATTTCCTAAAGAATCTTAAACTTCTGAACTAAACTCTTCATAACAAGAGTAAGAAAGTATCACTCAAGAAACTGGCGCCTTTCAGTTCTTATACATTCAAATAGTGACAATTAAAACCCACACAAGAACTAATGGGAAGAAGCTGCAGTCTCATAAGTTAGCCATTACAGCATGAAGTTTTCAGCATGATGAAAACCCCCAAACACTAGCTCCCATCAAAAATTAAATTAGAATCTACTTGTCAGTGTATGAAGCACTGTGGGTTGACTTTGTTAGCCAAGTCACATGCAAACAGGCAAACGCTAACATCTTTAATCACAACTGGTTTCAATACATTGCATTTTGCAATACATTATATCATATATATCACTCCTTACTTAACAAGCTACCCCAGTTTAGGGAAAAAAAAAAGGTATCACTCACCCTTCTCAAGTGATTTTACATTGCGACTTGTCAAAGTAATTCTAATGCGATGAATTGCTACCTCTTGTTCCACAGGTGCTTTGCCAGTATCTTTAAACGCCTAAAATGTTAAAGTTACAAATATCAGACATTGCAGTCAACACCAACTAACGCTATCTGCGGCCTCTTACAAACAGGCTTCTAGAGCATAAAGAACAATTTAGCTATGGGACTATTTTATTCTACTGACTCGATGACATATCCAAAGGGTACGGTGGCATGGAAGGAATGGTGGGAACAGAAAGGAAGGGCCAAGTCCTAACAGCTCTGAGGAGAAGCGATTTTTTAGCGTCTAACTGCATCTCACGGTGGGAAGCTGCAAGAACATCCCTCCCTGGTTTGCCTATATACAGCAGGCCATCCAGCCCCAAATACTCCTCGCCCTCAAAAATAAACGCATTTCAGATTTCACATATCTTACAAATTAACCTCAGCACAAAGTAAGTAACAAAGGCATCAACAAAAGAGCAACAGCTTAAAATGGTGAGAACAAAAAGGGGCATCTGGCCAGAAAGACTCATTCGGCCACTCAGGAGACCGATGTGAAGAGCTTATGCAATTAAGCGCTTGCAAATACTTGGGCGTTAATGCGGACCAAGTGAATTGGTGACAGAA